AGATGAGCGAATTAAAAAAAATTGTTTTGTTTTTGTGAGTATTCTCTCCTCCACACTAAATTCAGCTGTTATGTAAACAAATGTCACTGATTTTGTTTAAAAGCATACCATATTAACAATGAATTTAATTCCCATAATAAAAGGTGAACTGATTCCATTGTGTGCATACATCAATAACTATCTGAACAATATCAATACATCGCCTGTTTGAAGTCTAATATGTCGTTACTATTTGACGCAATTGTGTCTACTTCCGGTAATTTACGATATTTCACAAGTAGTGTACTAAATTTTGATCGTTTTACATGTGCACACAATATCAGCTAACATAAACAAAGCGACAGCGTTAAGTTCCATGCTCTCTCCATCTTTTCTAATGACCTCTCGTTTTTCAAGGTCATTCGGTGGTTTTCCCCCCAACAAAAACATGGAGCTTGTCCAGCGAGAAAACATTCTCTTGACAGTGTTACATGGAAACTAAAATATAACTAAGTTATTTTTTTATATGATGGATAAAAGGGCAGCAAACGGGACACATTTGACGGTGGTGCAGTCTTAGTTGCGAGAACTGTACAACTACACTGTGATGAAACGACAACATTTTTCGTTCAAGTTCTAACGCATAAAACAAGTGCAAATAAAACGCAAACAGCAAAACATGACTGCAAGTACAACTATCGTAACGCAATAAACAGAAATTATAGATTTACCTGAATAAACTATCGGAAGAATTGTTATCAAAGTGACTTTTAAAAGGTAGTCCAACATCATGACAGCAATGTTTTCAACAACTGAAGTTCAAAGCAAAAACACGCCAACATTTAACGTTCGTTCCTCAAGTTCACACCATTTGAAGTCGTCTCCGGGCCTTGATAGCAAAATACGCCAACCAGGAAACAGTTTGTCAACTTATTCTTCTAGCTGCATCAGATAAATTAAAGAATCCTTGTATTTTAGGCATTCACTTTGCGATAAAAAAAAGTGCCAAACTTCAAGCGCGTTTTCTATTAGGCCATTATTCCAAAAATGGCTGCCTTTATTTTTACTCGACTTGCCCGGATGTAACCTCTGAACGATGACCTGAGAGTCCCTGCCTCTGATTGGCTTATTTTTACTTAACGCTAAGCTCCACTAAGGGATTTCTTATACAGTATTATGTCACGCACAGTTTTGCACTAGTAGTTTCTCGATATACATTTTTTTGTGGATTTCTTATGCGGTTTTATTACTCCCTCCTGCGCTAAATGCACACGTAGCCCGGCTTGACGCCGCTATAAATTAGCCAATCAAACGCGGTGTTGTAAAATGGCCGTGATCGCTGGAATGATGGACAGCTTAGATTTGTATCAATTTGGGCTGTCGTCGCAACTGAGCTTCCTCCCCATGAACTTGGATGCTCTTTGTAGGTTTATTGCTGGTTTCCCTTACAGGAAACTGAATAATCGCCAAAATGAATCGTCAGTGTAACACACCCATGTATATTCGAACATGTCGCTAGCCCTGTGGCGTTGTTGGGCTACATGGAAGCGAACATGTTCACTGGACGCTGTCTGCTGGAATCTGGGGTCCGGGATCGCGCATCGTGCAATCGAATTAAATAGATCGGCAGCACATGTTGCAAGTTCACTATTCTTTGCACTGTGTCGCCCCGCCCAGCGGTGATTTGTAACCACATCGCAGCGTGTTTACGAGAGAGCTTTCCAAGGCCATGGGAGACACTTCACATGCAGCGTATAATATCTGACATTGTTGCGGAATATCCGAGTAATTTATGATGTAAATATATCGTATTTAATTTAATTTAAGTTTCAAACATGTGTGTTTTTGAAAAATCAACTTAAACTGTAAAGTAACTCATTAAACATACATTTATAGTAATTTATCTGACCCATTTTTTTTAATGTTATCACATGAAACAGTTGTTCATCTTTGAGTCAACCCAAATAAATAAAAATATCTAGAATTCGTACAAATTTAAGTATGTAACCTTTGTAAAATTAGTTTGAACTTCTGGGGAACGTGAATGATTTGAGGGTATAAATTTAATAATATATATATTATTGTTTCATCTATTTTATTTTAATTGTTTCATATATTTTATTTAATTATATTTATTTCATTGCCGGTAAAATCGCAGGCTTTCACGGTTACCAAAACTTGAAATATAAAAAAATATGGCAAACTATTTTTTTTTTTAAATTTTCTCAAAATTACTAGTAAATTTCTACTTTTATTTTTAAAACCTAACGTTTGAGTCGTTACAGACGCCTTGCTCGAGTGACAATATAAACCCATTTATAGATAGTATTGGCAGAAAAGATGAATCTTTAAAATGGGTCACATTTTAAAAATCTAAAAAAAAGTTGATATTTATGCAAAATTATTACAAACATTCATTTACGCATGACGCAATTTTCATTCTAAAAGCAGCGCTTTTCGACTTTTCATACCATTTACCTAGACCAGCCGGATCGATTTTTTCAATTGGGGACAGACCCGACAGGAGGGGGTTACAATGGAACCCTATTTTATGTACGAAACTTTGGAAAAATATATTTTTAACAATTTATTTAACACCGAAAGGCTACTTCTCCCGATATCCTTTTTTTCTGAAAATAGGACAAAGATAACTTTTAAAATGAGTTTTTTTTTCGTAATAATTCTCCGTCGAAATTAACATGGAAAATGATTGTAATGCGTTTTCATCACTATAACAACTCTTAAATGCAATTCAAGATATTGATAGAGCCAAATTTGTTTTGAAAAACAATATACACTGTAGAAATGCTATACATTGCACCATTGCATCATGGGATAGTATTGTTCTCGCTGTTATCGAAAATATATATTGTTCCCTCATTGTCTTTTTAACAACCCCGCCCTTCACACGTTAACACTTCAGCAACTACTCTTTACTTTTTTTCATACCAAAATTGTTCTGGTAACTTTGTTTTTTAATTTTTCTTCCAGTTAAGCTAAAATATACAAACACAATGGACCTTTCTATTTAGAAGTCACGTGACTTAATTCATGTTGATATTAGTGTGACCTTTGTTATGGTCTGTTACAATGGCTTCCTTTACATAAATATACTGTAATCTGATTAAAATCTGATCTAGGTATAATGCTCCAATTTTGTTTTAATTTTGTATGACCCTTTATATAATACTTGTTTTTGTTTGTATGTGTCCATTTTTTGGTTTTATTTGCTTTTAATGAGGTTCGGCAAGGGATATTTTCGTAAGCTGTAAATCAATTGTTTTTACTTTCGTAATAATGTAATTTAAATAAATAAAAAAAAACGTAAATTCGTAGACATGGGCAACAGGGCAAGGTGTAAAATAAATGTAATTTGCCATTTTATTCATCCGCTATTTGTACAAAGATCTTATTTTTTGTATGCATATAAAGCATTTACCACATTAAATCTCGTAATTCGTATACAATTTCCAATTTTGATTTTTGACACAAATTATCAAATATATTATAAAAATGAAAAATGTAATTGGAAAGTTGCTTTACCTGTAAAGTGTAAACAAATATTTTTTTGCTGTTTTTATTCCTTGTAACCTGTACCAGCTATGCCCTCGTTAATCAGTTCTTAGAGACTGAGACACGATTTTCGACAAAATTGCCACATACAATCAAAAATACATTCCATATATGGACTGATTTCATTTATACATTCCATATATGGACTGATTTCATTTATATATTCCATATATGGATTGATTTCATTTATATATTCCATATATGGACTGATTTCATTTATATATTCCATATATGGACTGCTTTCATTTATTCCCACCTAAAATTATAACATACATCGTGTCGTGCAATATGTTCAATAATGTACGCTAAGTAAATATACGTTTCATACTTAAATTCCGATTCTTATTTACTTATTGTTTATTTGTGTTGACTGGTTTACCCCATCTTGAATTTTCAAGGTGAATGTTCCGGCGAAGCACTCCACTATCACCTTGAAGTATTTCATTAGGACTACGTGTATGTGACAATGCCCTCACAGTTTAGAATCAGTTTACCAACAGCCAATCATATTGCTTCTTTCTTCAACGCGCTTGGCCAAGCTATCAAAATCTTCGAGGCGGAACTAATTCACGAGACGCTCAACGTTGCTATTTACAATCGTTTTCACTAAACATTGGACGATCAGATTGTGGTAAATGTTGATACATCAGAGCAAGTACATAATGAAATTGCCACTGATTTTATCCCTACTAATCAAAACATTATAACTGTAGCCTAAACATTTTTGATACAATGTATACCTGACTGAGTCTTCGAGGCGCCATTCTGTCTTTTTCTACTCAATTATAATGTTACGTCTGTGTGTGTGTCCCGGTAGTGTGTCCAGACACCCAGAGCATCTAACGCGGGAAAGTCGGGAGTACATGTAATTTGGTAACAAAATGCAG